TCATGTTAAACAAAAAGCAAAAATAGCAAATTATGAATAAAAAAGGAAAATGCTCTAAATAGTATTAAAATCAAACAAATACTGTACTTCACGTACAGTAAGAAGGGAAATTAAGTCATACCAGACGCAGGTACATTTCTTTTGAGAGGCTACTCCTTATTCCTGGAATTGTGCTCCGAGACAAAACTATTAATATTTCAATGAAGTACCCCTGTACCCATCGACAAAAAGTTTTTGTGTAGTGTTTTAGTACTGCGGCAAAGCTCTCGGAACTCTAATAGAGAATACCGCAAATGAATGACAAGGGGAGAGTAATTTGAGAGGGTCTTCTGTTTTATTCTGGAAGTGTGCCCCAGGACAAAACTATTATTCGACAAAATACACCTTTATCTATCATGAAAAAGTGAAATTACAGTATTTTACGAAAGTGGTTTTAAGTACTGGGAAAAGCCTTGGGAACTTTAAAAGTCTATACTCAACAATGTTTTCATTGCTTTTCCTTAGACCTGTTATTTTTTCACAAGACGCGAATTTGGCTTCACGTGCCTCCCTTACCCCCGCGTAAATTGTGAGTCGATTGTACTCGGCTCATACTGTACATATTCATCGGGTTCTGACATCTGAAATGTTTACAGTTCTTAAACGTCTTGAAACCGTCTTTTAACTAGCACGCTTCATTACCAACTTAAGATATCAACCTTTTTATGAGCAAACGAAGCCGAATTAATCGACTAAGTTCAGCTAAGGCTTTAATTAAGCAAATGATTCAGCTGGAACAGGAGCCAGCAGGTGTGGGGATCTGTATGAAGTTTATATTTTCGGTTTGGGGTCGAAGGTGGCAGAGGTGTTGAAAACTGGAGCGGTCCTCCATGGAGCGACATTATTCATGACATAACTTTTTGAAGACCGAAAGCGAAAAAAAAAACAGATATACTGTAACTTGTTACGTGTTTTTACAAACAGCGTCACATTTTAAATAAGTTGGCGAAGACTGGATTCTTACTTTGGTTTACCATCGGATCCTAAAAAATCCATAAAGATGTGAGAAATCACTGAATATCAGACGCGTCTCACGGTTTCTAAAAATGGGTTTTTAAACTCGACAATAGTGCGCGCTCGGGGCTGAGAGGTGTTGACTGAGAGACCTCAGGGAATTACAGAGCTTCGTAAAATTCGTGTTACTTACAAATCACTGTCCTATAAGATACACCATGTCATGTTAAAATTAGTGTTTTAATAAACAGATACGGGTGTGAAAGTCTGAGTCGGGTTGTGGACACAGATCCCACACACTGCCCAGTAGTACAAACGTGTACAAATATATGTCACTCAGGATAAATTGTATTAGCCAATTTTAATTAGTATTTTGATTAAAAATAACAATAAGCGTAAGGAAACGGATAAGATATATCGCAATTAGTTCTTGAGTATAGCAATGATAACCACCAGAAAGACCGTTCGCACTCATTCTCTCATTCTCAAACAGAATGTCTTGGCAAGTCACAGAACTACTTTATATCAATCGTGAAACACTTTCGATGCTTTTCGAAATATCAACTAAACTTGTGATGCATCGATAATCCAGGTAACGAAGAAGTCCACAGTTTTTTTTTCCCTCAAAGCCCCGATCTTGATCATAAAGGTGGCCTGGCAGATTGGTGCTACAGTACGCCGGCACCGTGTGTATCCAGAGCCACCCACTAGCTTGCAAAACCTACCTTTTCAACAACAAGAATGCCAGGAGACAACAAACGATGCAGGATATAAGACGGAAAGAGAATAAGATAACTGTTTTATAGAAAACAAAGCTCTTACGTACTCGAAAGCTTTGTCTTTTTGTAAAATGGAGACGCCTAAATGCACTTTCACTTTCGTATCTTAATTCCTGCCACTCATGTGTCGGGAATTTTCTTTTCAGAGCAAAGAAATGGTGAATTAAGGAAGCGGTGAATCGTTTGAATGAACCGTGGCAGTTCTCCATTCTCATTGATAAAAAGTGTAGTGCATGCTAGCTACTGTAAATCAGATTTTTTTATACTGTTTATAACTCCATCAACTAAAACAAAATATTTAGATATTTGTCAAGATCAGGCTTCAGGAAAAAAAAAACGAATTTTAATTAATAGTAAAGGAATACTGTTGTATAAGCGATTTGATTGTTGTACATTATCGACTGAGCACATGTATAATAACATTGAATTCTTACACTTATATAGTATATACTTTAGCTCTTTTCTGGACACTCCACTCAAAGTGCTTTACAGGTAATGGGGACTCCCCTCCACCACCACCAGTGTGTAGCCCCACACCAGCTCTCAGTGGAGTGGAGAGCAGACTGATGAAGCTAGTTCATACTGTAGATGGGGATTATTAGGAAGCCATGATTTGTAAAGCCCAAGGGAAAATTCTTTGAACAACAGATTTCTGGGTGTTTACAGTGTAGCATCATTAACATTGTAGTTTTACAGACACAAGAATGTCTATTAAACTATTTGTGTTTTGTTAATAAAACCTTTGGTTACTGCCAAATACAGCTGCCCCTAGTTAGCACTCTTGCTCTCTCTCTGAGGAGTGTGTTGTGCTCAGTTGGTCTGTGTGAGGCTAAGCAGATGGTTCAAGTGTTCACTCTTTCAGCCAGCTTTGAAAACCTGTTGCTTGAGTATTTCTCATTCTTGAGGGGCACAACTTGGATTCTGCTCCAAAAATAGAGTACACAGACCACACATGTGTACCTGAACACAGGAATGAGAGCACAGTGAGTCCTAAGAGGCACTGCCTTCTTGGTCTTTTCAACCTGAAGCCTAAGCCCTCATTAGTTCACACCATGATTCACTTCTGTAGACCCTTTTACCCCTGAAAGAGAACATACAGGAGCCTGAGAGGAATTGGAGCTGAAGTGTTTAACACTAACATTAGAGGTTGATGTTGTTGAGAATATATTGTCCTGTGTCCTAGTTTTTGTGATTTTGTTGTCCCTTGGGCTGAAACCTTCAATTTGTTTAGGAGTTTGAGTACATGAAACAAATCCTTTTACAATAATTAATGATAATTACTTACACTTATACTGTATTAGCGCTTTTCTGAACACTCAAAGCACTGTACAGGTCGTGGGGAATCCCACTACCACCACCAGTGTGCAGCTCCACCTGGATGATGCTCCAGTACTCTCCCCACACACCAGCTCTCAGTGGGGAGGAGAGCAGAGTGATGAAGCCAGTTCAGAGAGGGGGATTATTAGGAGGCCATGATTGGTAAGAGCCAATGGGAAATTTGGCCAGGACACCAGGGTTACACCCCTATTCTTTTCAAGAAACGTCCTGGGATGTTTAATGACCACAGAGAGTCAAAAATTCAGTTTTTACATGCCATCCAAAGGACAGCACCTTTTTACAGTGTCATTTCCATGTCACTATACTGGGGCTTTAGGACCTACTTGGACTACAGTGTGAGCGCCCCCTATTGGCCCCACTAACACCTCATCCAGCAGCAACCTTCAATTTTGTCCCAGGAGTCTCCCATCCCAGTACTGACCAGACTCACACCTGCTGAGGTTCAGTGGGGCTGCTAGTTGTGAGTTGCAGGGTTATATGGCTGCTGGCAATCTTTCTTCTGAAAAAAAAAAAGATTTATCACTTTACTGCTGTTTGAGTGCGATACCCTTCCCACTCCCAAAAATGCAGCAGTTTCTCCAAGGCAAACATTTAGGGCCATTATAGCCAGTACTGCTTTTAGCATTACATGAGGGAGTCTACATGGCTGAATGGAAGATTGTGGGGTCCCATTGGAGCAGACATTTTGGCT